AAAGAAAGAAAGAAAGAAATGAAAATAGAATTGGAAATATGTCCCAACTCATTTCAAGAGGCCCACATTACTATCATAATCATAAGAACAAATGAAATTACTGGGCAATATCCCCCATAGGTGCAAACATCTTAAAATTTTAGAAAATAAAATTCAATACTACACAAAAGGAATAGTACACAATAACCAAGTGAGATTTACCTCAGGAATGCAAATTTAGTTTCTTAATATTAGAAAATCAATCAATGTAATTGACCTAATGTTTTGTTAATATACAAAATAAAGGGGGAAGTTATGACTATTTCAACAAGTGCTGAAGAGTATTTTCCAACACCTGATAATGATAACAAGGCTCAGCAAATGATGACTGGAAAGTAGCTTCCTCAACCTGATGAAGGGCATCCATGAAAAACTACAGTTAATGTCATACATAAGGGTGAGAGACTGAATGCTTTCCCCCTAAGTTTGGGAACCAGGGAATGACACCCACTCTTACCACTTCTATTCAACATAGTACTGGAGGTCCTAGCCAGTGCAATAAAACAAGAAAAAAAGATATACAGATTAGAAGAGAACCAGCAAATCTTTTGCATTCAGCAAATGGCATAGTTGTGAACATTGAAAATCCTATGGTGTCTACAAAAAACAAGTCATAAGTGAGTTTAGCAGAATTAATAAAAATGAATCAATTGTATTTCTGTGTGTCATCAGTGAACTACAGGAAATAGAAATTAAAATACAACACCATTCACAATCAATTAGGAAACATGCAATACAAATACCATTGAAAGAATTATAAAGGACAAATCAATGGAAATATATACATTTATATCAAAAGACTCATAATAAATGTATTAATTCCCCCAAATTAACTTATATATTTAATTTACATAAATTATTGTTTAGTTATTAATTCTATAATATAAAACATAGGAAATAAAATTTTAAATTAATTCTATGTTAAGTCTATATATAGATTTAATTTATTTAAAATACCAGCATAAAATTAGCTGATTAAAAATATTTATGGAAATACAAAGAACCTAGTCTAGTAAGAACAACTTTGAAAAAACACTAGAGGACTTACACTGCCTGAATTCTAGACCTACTATTAAGCTAGAATAATCAAGATAGTGTGGTATTCGCATAAGATTAAAGTATAAATCAGTGGCACAGAATAAGTAATGCTAAAACAGAACTGTATGTATATGGTCAATTAAATTTAACAAAAGTGCCATTAATTCAGCGATGAACTATAGTATTTTCAGCAAATAATGCTTAAACAACTCGATATCCATGCCAAAAAAAAAAAAAAACAATACAGTCAACTGTTCATTGACATTAAACACAAAAATCACAGTAAGGTAGTTATGGACCTAAATGTAAAAACATAAATTTTAACACTTCTAAGAGGAAACTTAGGAGAAAATATTCACAAACTTAGGCTAGTAAAAGATTCTTTAAATGAGATAGAAAGAATCATACACCACAAAAGAAAAAAATGAAAAACTATGCTTCAGCAAAATTTAAAACCTCTGCTCTTTTGAAAAATACCATTTAATAAAATGAGAAGACAAGTTATAACTAGAAAAAAATATTTGTGAACATGTATCTGTCACAACTTCTATCTAGAACATATAAAGAACTCTTATACTACAATTATAAGACAACAGCCCTATTGAAAAGAAAATATTTGAACAGATATTTCACAAAGAAAATGTATGACGAGGAATAAGAACATGATAATATCTTCAATATCATTAGTCATCAGAGAACTGAAAATTAAACTCAAGTGAGTTAGGATTACACTTCCACTAGAATGGCTAAAATTAAACCAACTGACAATACCAAGTGTTGGCAAGGAGATAGAACAATTGGAATTCTCATGTGCTGTTCGTGGAAGTATAAAGTAGTACAACCACATCAGAAAACAGCCAGACACAGAATCTGTGTGAGACACAGACACTGTGTGATTCCATTTATAGAAAACACTAATTTAATATACAGTGATGGAAAACAAATAAGTGATCTCCAGAGGCCACAGGCAGAGGGACATTTTCTGTGCAAAGACTTTAGAGGAACTTTGGGGATGACAAAAATGTTGCACAACTTGATAGTGATGATGACTACATGGACATATATATTTTCTGAACATAAGGAAATACGGAGTTAGAGTGAATGCATTTTATTTTACATAAACTATATCTAAATACAGTTAGATATAGATATAGATATATTTTTAAAACAACTTGGACTTGACATAAATCAGCTTAGACTAACTCTGATTTTTTTCCCTTCTCAAATACTTTTCTTCTATGACCCAGTTTTCAGTCATGCTATGTTAATAATAAAGCCAATCACCCCATTTTTACTGACCAGCACGTGTTAAAATATGTCAGCCCCAATTATTGTCATTCTATATCTTGCCAGATCAATTATTTAAGTTAACTCAGGTGAGTTATTAAAATATTAATATTATTTTTTAACCATAATAAGGTAAAAAGTTATAAGCATTTCTATTTGCCAAACACTGTCCCAGAAACTCCACATATATTTTCTCTAATTGGTACATATACATTTGCCAGGTTGGTATCGCTACCATCAACAAGGTTAAGGGCTTATACAAGTCACAAAAGGAGTGAATCAAGGACAGACATGGAATCCAATTCCAGTCTTGAGTCGGACTTCTTTGGCTGCAATAGTCACTATTAACTAATTAGGCAGCATAACACTTAGCACACGTACACTTGTTTTGAGTCTTTTTTTTTTTTTTTTTACCAGAGCTAGTAAGCATAATTGTCTCCTGATAACGAACACACTTGTACCCAGGTTTTTCCAAATGAATTATATCAGGTTTTTGTCCCTGTTCCTATTGTTCAATGCCAGTGTGTGAGTATGAAACACAGAGGGAATTGTTTTTTCTAGTAAGTACCTTCACTATCCAGGTCATCACTTTGAGCAAACACACTATCCATAGAGGAGTCAGGAATGAAGGTCCATTCATCGAGTTTATCCAGGACATCTTCAGGAAAATTCCTGTCGCTCTCTGAGGCTGCTCCTTCTTCCACAGAACTTCTCATCTGATGCCTGAGCACCATTCTTGCTAAAGTTGATCCTATATCTAAAAGGAGAGATATGCCAGCAGCTTGAAAGTCAACGACTATGCAAATAAAAATATATATCCTATATTCCTTGTATGTGTCTATTCTCCTGCTGCTGTAAAACTTTATGATTTTTTCCTTCCAGTCACTTTACAATAGTGGCAAATTAAATTAAACAAAATAACAAAATACACAGAACTTTGGTGGTAGATGACAACATTTAATTTCTATGAAAGGCCTGGACTTTGAAGCCAGACAGGCCTGTGCTCAAATCACGGTAATGTCATTTGCAAGTTAGATTAACTCCCTGTGGATCAGTGTCCTCACCCGGAAAATGAAGGGGGGTTATATACAGCCTGGGGTGATGGAAGAGAGTAAAAAAAGATGCATATAAAATGTTTAGCACGGTGCTTAGAACATATGAGATGCTAAATAAACGATGTACTTATTTTTATAAACTTTGCTAGGTAATTCGTTCTGACTTTTGGGAACTCTGATGAAATTTCGAAGTTAATATTCTTCTCACAATTTCATTTCATTTCACATTATGCTCCACTATGGAGAAAGAAGTTAAAGGTAAGGTAAAGTCTTCACTGTGCTTCATATAGCCTGGAAGAGTTTGTCCAATGTTACCCTCGGGGCTCACACTGTAACGTGTATGTAAGTCAGTCCAGTAGTACCTGGAAGATATTTCACAGCTGCGAACTCAAAATGTTACTGAGTCATGCCAGTCGCCAACAGAATCATGGCTATAGCCTCCAAATAATCAAATCATGTTTATTATTGTATTTTTTAAAATCAGATAAGACTTTTCAACAGAGAGAGCATAGAATAAGAGGATATAGTGAATGACAAATTTCCCTCCATTCCTCTCCAATAGGCCTACAATTCCCTCCATCACATATCAAAGATTAGAGTAAGCAGGTTAGTGGCACGACACTAGTTTAAGAATTACCAAAGCCCCATCCCCATCCCCCACCCCAGGCAACCAGGGAACCTATTTCTAGAGCTTTGTTCATATTTAAACGTTTATGATTACCATATTCCAATTGCAGTTTCACTAACATTAGCATGCTAAAAACACTGTTCTTAATGCTTTGTGTTTCATTTAATAAAGCATTCTCTGCCAGTTCATTTACATTTGCTACATGTTTTTTTCTTTTCCCAATGATGGCAAAGCACTCCCCTGCGTGAACAGGCCATGATTTATTTGAATAGTCCCTGTTAAGGTACATTTAGGGTTCTCCCCACTCTTTTAGAGGCATTTTTGTACAGACTTCCTTCTGCACTTTGAGAAGGTCTGTATGGTAGAATCCTGACACTCCATGGCTGGGTCAAAAAAGAATGCATGTTTGATGAAAATATTAAGAGTTATTGCCAAATTGTCCTCATAAATAGAACAATTTAAATTCATAGCAACAACATGCGAAGTGTCTGTTTCTACATATAGTTAACAGAGTTTTTATCAAATTTTTATTTGTACCAATATTGATTATTTAATTCTAAATGACCATCTACTATGTGCAAATCGTATATAAGGTAAGGTTATGACCACGGACAAAACTGACATCGACTTTACAGCACTGCTCGTCTACCCATTGATGAAGATGAAAAATTCAAGGATTTGTCGTTGGTGGTAGTACAGGTGGGAAATAAGGTGCTACAGGAGCAGATAGGAGGACTCGCCACCCAGACTCCACGGGGGGGGGGGGGGGGCCGGGTCTATTTTCTTGTAAAAAATAATGAGGGTGCTAAGACAGGAAGAAAGAAGAGAGAGGCAGGTGAAGGCGGAAGGTAGAGACAGTGACACTGGGAAAAGCCTGGAGATGAGACTGTGTGAAGTGTTCAAAAAAGCAAGGGGGATTCAGACGGACTGAATTTCTAGGGCCCACTGGACGGTTGGAGACCTGGACGTGTAGAGGCCTCAATGTGGATGGATACTTTTCTCTGGCAACACTCAGTTATCTGGGTGAGAGTGTGGGAAAAAGTAGACTGTGCACAGATTGAAACTGGAGTTTTGCAAGTGAGTACATCAGAAAAACAAGAGGAAAGCACAAGTCTTATCCGGTGTTTCAAGTGAAGAGTCACAGAGTCTGCTGACTTTGGGGAAGGAGACAGGCACGGGACTAAGTTAACAAAGGGAAAGCTGGGAGCCCAAGCCTTAAAAACACATTCAGTGTGGTTGGGTGTGGTACATTCCATGTAATCCTAGCACTCTGGGAGGCCGAGCTGGGTGGATTGCTTGAGCTCAGGAGTTTGAGACCAGTCTGAGCAAGAGTGAGACCCTGTCTCTATGAAAAATAGAAAAAACTAGCCTGGCCGCCCATTATGATGGGCAAATATTTGGGAGGCTGAGGCAAGAAGATCGCTTGAACCCAGGAGTTTGAGGTTGCTGTGAGCTATGATGCCCTAGCACTCTAGCCTGGGACAACAGAGTAAGACTCTGTCTCAGACAGAAAACAAACAACAATAACAAAAAAATACATTCAATGTCAGAAAATAAGAGCACTCCAGATACAGAAATGTGACCAGAGGATCTCATTCAAGTAGTTTCATGGTTAAAATATGTACACACATATAGAGCCAAATCTTTGCAATATTTTTGGCTTAAGGAATGTCAAACTGGCATGAATAATAACTAAAAGACTAGTGACTTTAAAAACCAAACCATTAAAAATGAGAATTGTACAAAATATTCTTGTTGATACTTACTTGTTTGTTTTCTCAGATTAGATGTCCTATCGGGAAATAAAGGACCAAGCCAAGAAGGTTCAATTTTTCCAATACAAAATCCTCCAAGGCAAATGCTATTATTGGCCAGATCCAGGGCAAGCCTCCTCAAGAGCAAGCTGATGATCTGGCTGTCACCTTTCCCAATGCTGATAGTCAGAGCTCTCCGTACATCTTGTTCACGGGATCCACTATTCAGCAAGAGTTCCACCAGTTTGGGACTGCTCTCTTTCTCACATACCTATTTTTAAAAAAAAAAAGAAGAAAGAAAAAGCAAGCATAATAAAAACTCATATTTTTCCTTTTTGGAGACTAGAAAATCAAACCTGATGTGACTTTTTATCTACACCTTAAATTTCAACTAAAACAATTAACATAAGACAAAATTGATCCTTAAAATAGACTGGGTAAGAAGATGGGTGCCACAAATATCAGACTAGCATAAAACACGAGAGTCAGTTACTGTGAAACAGACACCATTCCACGGAGAAAAAGCTCATAGACTTGGGATCGAGACCTCAGTCTACACCCAAGCTCCACCAGTTATCAATGTTGTTTTTATTCCCTGGGCTTGTCTGTTCATTGAAGACATCTGGGAAACCAATGACCTTAACACGCTAAGCACAAGTGCCCTGTCTTCATTTGTGACATGGAATAAATGAGAGTAAAAATATTATAAACTTCATTAATGCCTCATCACTCAGGTCTAGTTTTGCTGAGCGCCTCACAAGATTCTGGGTTTCCACAGAGATAAATCTTGCATCTCGGTCTCCTGTTGCTTCTGAATGTTATGCCTTTAGAGCATGTGCTCAAGGGGGTGTTAGCATGGGAAATGCTACAAAAACTAGACAAAAGTCTGCACTATTAGTGAGTGGTTTGGACATTTGCACAGTCAGATGACACCAACTTAATGCCCACAAGTCTCCAGGATCACCTACTGTGAACCCATTCTTCTTAGCTCCACTACAGAGATACAATCAAGTCACCATTCCATCAAGATATTTTCTAAAACCCCTCTGTTCCGAGACATTCCCCCAAACACAACATGCAATTTTTCTAACCGCATGGCCCTCATTTATGTTTTTTCTGTGGCTCCAAAGGCCTCCCTCTGCTCTTCACCTAGCAAAAAGATGTTCATTCTTGAAAAAACAGCTTGGAAAACTCTGGCACAGTGAAGGCCTTGTTACCACCTCCCGGACCACACACGCCCTTCCTCTCCCAGGCCCCCATGCCATTTGTTAGATGGAGCACTGGGCGCACTGAACCAGACATACCCATTTCTTTTCCCACTGGACTATAAAGGCACGGACACTATTGAGATCCGACTTGTACTCCTAAAACCTAACACCATGCCTAGGAAATCTAACTAAAGTAACAAAATACTCAAATCCTCTTTAAGGCTCCATTGCAAGATTAGGAGGAAGGGAGGGAAGGGGGAAGGAAGAGAAAGGAGAGAAACCCCTCCAAAATACTCACAAATGCCTTCTCTTATAGTCCAGTAACCTTTTTTCTCTAAGTTATGCTGCTCACTGCCTACTCCATACTAAGGCGATTTATGTTTTATCCTTTCTCGAACCCAATTCTTCCACACTCTGAGAGACACACACACACTCTTAGAAAAAACGATCTTCAAACAGGAAACTCCATTTTATTCTCTATAATTATTTGTGCAGCACTTTGCACACAGAAGATGCTTAGCACATCTTTGTAGAAGGAATTTTCCTTGGGGGTTTTCATATGGTGCCCTGAGAATGTGCAGGGTGGTGACCGCACACAGACGTTATGGCCACGTGTGAGTGTGTGCGTGTGTGTGTGTGTGTGTGTGGATACATACACACATGCACATATACACATATGTATGAAAGCATATCAGAAACAAAGAAGTAAATCCAGCAAAAACAAGAAATAATTCCTTGAAATCTCACGCAGTCGCCCCTCCCTTTAAAACAGTCACACATTTTTTTTTTTTGGAAATTTCAACTTCCTGACGGGATAAAAAGAACAGCTCAAAAACACGCAGTTTTTATTTAAACAGTAATGAAGAAAATTTAGAATATAACTAAAGATTATCAAAATTATAATTTACTTTTTTTGGCAATCTTCCTCTCATCTTCTAACGTCAAGCAGACACAGCTCACAATCAAAACCAAAGTTTTCAAACCAGTGTTTGAGAGTCAGTGAACCACACCCCACCATGGATCTGGGGTGGAGCCAGGAGTTTAGAGCAGGCACTTGGGAGGCAGATTTTCTACCACTTACCAGAAGATTTTTCTTAGCAAATTACTTAATCCCTCTGTGCCTCAACTCCTCACATGTACAATGGGGCCAACAGGAGGCCCTTATGTGAGGACTGAATTGTGTAAAGTGCGCAGAGCAGTGCCCACGTGGCAGGGAGCGCCACAGAGGGGTTATTATTTTTACTGTGACTTCATTGTACTCACTCTTCCCACCCACCATGATTTGATCCGTCTTATCTTTACGTCTATCTACGCATGCGTTTGCATGCTCAGTGTTAACCTTCTATATTCTCCTCTTCCTATCATGCACCTTAATTATATCATTAAATTCCCCTCCAAAAGCCCAACTCAATTAACTCCATTCTCGCTCTGAACAGACCTGAATGATGCAACCTCTTGGCAAATGGGTAATCTTGATCACCTTATGTTGCTCTGGCACAAATAAAGTACCTTCAAAAAAACCCATCCGCAATATTTAACCTATATTTATTATGTGCTAGATACAAATAACTTCTGACAACTAGAATAAATTCTTTAACTTTAATACATAATCCCTGGGTACAAAGATCCAATTTTATTTTAAGAAAAAACAAAAAAAAAATAAGCCCATGACATCCAAAAGGCTATGGGAAGAGAAATAAAATAAAAAGCCTGTGTAGAGAAAGATTTGCATAAACAGGAGAAGAGTAGAAAGCGTTTCCTGGGAGGAATTGGGCGTAATTGTTCTTGGGGGCTTCTAGGCACTTTGCTTCCCTAATGAGCAACTCAGAAGGGGAAGTTTCCTTTTAGTTTTTTGGCATCTCCAACTAACATTAAGGCAATGATCTGTACACAAAAGATGCACAATCAAAGGCATTAAATTATGGAGGGAAATAATTTAATTACTTTTATTAGTATAGAACCAACTATTTTAAATGTTGCTTGCTTCAAGGGACTTAGACTAAATTTAAATAATTTGATTATTTATTTCGTTTAATGCATAAAGTAATGGTGCATGACATTGAGTTACAAATTCTGTTCCTTACTATGTTAATTACTAATTAGTGCTCACGAAATCTTACCAACATATTGATTGCAATCCATTGGCAAGTGGGAAATTAAATAAAGTGAGGCTTAAAAATAAATTATTAGAGAACATAGCATTCTGCTGATTAATAATGTATATTATTAGATCACTCCATAATTGCTTTGTTAGAAATACTACTAAATTTCTAGAGGATAGACCTGGCACCACCAAACTGCTATTATAAACTCTAACATTTATACAATTAAGACAAACCTGAAATGTAGGTAATGCATTTTAGTAGATATTTATTGAATACTCATACACACCATTTATAAAGCAATGAATTAGACATTCATAATGATATGAATATGATCACTGTACATTTCTTTTTCATACAACTCACAAAATAGACAACAGGTGTACACATAGTATCATGGACTTGTGGAAGTGAATACTAATTATATTTTAAATTCTAACCCAGACGTGAATTCTAACTTGTCTGGAGGTCTGTGGGTATGAAGGGGGCTTTAACAAAGAGAGACGATTCGGGTTAGATTTTGATAGAATAGTAGAACTGTCAGATAGATAAATTATTTGCATGATTTAGGAGGGAAAAGAGAGAAGGAAAGAAAAGCAATAGTGTTGCACAACTTCGAGAGAGGCCAGTAACAAGGGACAGCTCCCCCCAAAGGTGTGCAGTCACAGCCAGCATCATCTCAAGCCGCCCTGATAGGACAACCCCCCAGGTAAAGAAACCAACAGTGGAGAAAACGGCTGAAAAATGATCAAAACTGTGTGCTGTGTAGAGTGTGTGGAAACAAGTTGTAGTGATGTAGATAGTCCGGGACACATTTGGAAAGTTATTTTTCAACCTACCAAAGTATGTAAACAGGTAGAATGGAGGATTAGACTGGATAACACCTAAAAGACTTTATCACTTCTGAAACTCTCTGTGGGGTTCTTTTGTTGGTGGTGGTGGTGGTGGTTGTTTTTGTTTTTGACACAGAGTCTCATTCTGGGTAGAGTACCGTGGCGTCACAGCTCATAGCAACCTCAAACTCCTGGGCTGGAGCGATCTTCTTGCCTCAGCCTCCCAAGTAGCTGGGAGTCCTGGCACGTACCACAACACCTGACTAATTTTTCTATTTTTAGTAGAGCCAGGGTCTTGCTCTCACTCAGGCTGGTATCCAGCTCCTAGGCTCCAGCCACCCACCCACCTCAGCCTCCCAGAGCCCTACAATTACAGTCTAAACCACCACACCTGGCACTTCTGAAACTCCTTGAATCCCAGCTCCTTCTACAAATCCCAAGCAATTACAATCACCTGGTAAATTCTTTTTTTTTTTTTTAAATAGAATGTAAGAGTTACACAATGTCAGGGTCAAAAAAAAAAAAATAGAGAAAAGACAAAAGTAAGACAATGGATATTTACCTGACAAATTAAAGACATCTCTTTTGCTTGATTGGCGTCAGCTCCCAAGAGAAGCAAGCACTCAACCATGATACTGTTGTTCTGATCACACGCTTTCTCCAGCATCAGATTTTTTAACTCATCGTCCATAGCTAATTTTGCAAAGCAGTTGCAACAGAGGTTTATAAACTAAAAAGGATGAATCGACAATCAGAGTCAGCTAAATACATAACCTTTAGCACACAAGTGAAAAATACTGCACCTGGTGATCCTTTTGTTCTGTGGTACTGGAGGACAAGTGATGGAATATGACTGAATCTAGTGAATACTGCACCAGCAACCTGGAAAAGGAGCTGGACACTTCCAGTATTGCCAGAATCGTCTGAAAGCCCTGAAACGAGACCAAAAAGAATAACATGTAAGCAATGATGGGCAAAACCAATACATAAATAATATAAAACAGAGGGTCTGGTTTTGAATGTCAATACCGAGGCCGTCCATGTAACTGTGGATATGTTTATTGGGTTTATGCTTTTCAATCTGTAATCCTTGAAACAATTCTATAAACAAATACCCCTTGTTTTCTCATTACTAAAAAATACAACAGGCACATGGGGGAATGAAATGCTAGTTAACAAACCATAATCTAGCAAAGCAAGAAAAAGGTTTAACCCTAAAAGTCGGCTTCTAAAGAACCCTGTGTAAAGTCATATTTACAGTAAGAAAAACAGATATTAAACAAGAGCTGGATGGGCTGAGCGACAGATCCAAATAGGCCAGTAGAGGAAATTGTTTAACTACCAGATTGCACGCTAAGTTCCCTAGAGAGCCCAGCATATTCCCCAAACTTTTAGCTGTCTTCTGAAATTTTTACCTCAAAGAGACATGTGTGACCTCAGATTGAGTGCATCTGAGAAGCTCTAAAGGTACTTGGAGATTTACATTCTTTTCTTTTGAGACAGAGTCTCACTCTGTCTCCCCAGGTAGAGTGCCCTGGCATCATCATAGCTCACAGCAACCTCAAACCCTTGGGTTCAAGAGATGCTCTTGCCTCTGTTTTTCCATTTTTAGTAGAGATGGAGTCTCACTCTTGCTCAGGCTGGTCTCCAACTCCTGAGTTCAAGCAATCCACCCATCTCAGCCTCCCAGAGTGTTGGGATTACAGGTGCAAGCCAGGGCAGATTAACATTCTTATAGCAAGTTATGTATAAAGAACACCATAACTTTTCAGAACCACGTCAAGAACATCCTCAAGAAAGACCTGCCCTCCCCACCCAAGTGATGTTTTAATGAACGACTGGCTTAAGGCTTTAATATTATTTCCTATTGAAGATCATCTTAACTTTTTAATATTTTATTACCTCTAAGACAACATAGTAATAAAATCACCTCAGTATTAAAATTATTATTTTGAGGTCTTAAGATGCTGAGTTTCTGCAAATATTAACATTTGACATTATGCATGTCCAAGGGACGTGTGCCCCATCCACCCACCTCTGCAGCAAAGGTTCCTGCAAACCCGAGTGAATGACGCAGCAAATCAGAAAGTACAAATGTGTAGAAGGCTAATCATTCAAATTCAAAACTTTCAGACACTGCACTAGCCAAATAAAATATATGAGCAGGCCAAATTTAGCCCACTAGTCAATAATTTATAATCTGTCCTAAAGAGATCCCCAAATGTACGCCTAGATGAATTAATCCACAGTGATGGACAGCTCCAAACCTACACAAAATCATTTCCTACCCGAGAATTACTTTTCATCAGTTCTGCCTTGGCTTTAATTAGCCTAGACAGCATGTTACGAAAAGCAAAAAAATGCATTGTTGTTTTTAACCTAAGAATGTTGTGGGGTCAGCACTTTATAATTGGAAAAAGAAACTTTGCGTACATTCTCTCTTTTGCTGATAATGTCGGTGCAAAAGTTAGAGCCTAAGTATGTTTATTCCTGGTCAGTGCGGCCACTTAGGAAAATATCTGCTGAGTTTAGGAAAGATGCAAACTCTGGTACTAAAAAACCCATAACCAAAGCAGAAACACACTTTCTGACTATTTGTTTTGCTAAAATTTAAACGAAAAAAAAAAAACTGAAAACAGAATTTATTTCTTAATCTCCCTTGGGTGAACACTAGGCCAATAGGGTGGGTGTTTTATAAAGACAGTTGTTATATATCATGTTTTAAATTTAACTCGATGAAAAATGTTAAAAACATTATATCCCTGCAAGGAAAAAAAAACGAAGAAGCTAAATTACTAGAGGTAAACAATCCACAATAAAACACAGATAGTGTTAAACTTCAGAGTAATTATGACTTCCATTTATCTAAAATCTAAGCAAATAACCTCAGCTAGCTGGAATTTCTTAGCTAGGCGGTTCTTTACTGTTTTATGGGAAGGACAAATGGCAAGTAAACAGGCTGATTTTAGAGATTTCATAACAAACGCTGGATCTTTAGAGATTCAATCTAATTCTCTTTGCCTTCTATAATTAAAATACTACAAAATGATGAATGGTTTTCAATTAACTAGAATGCACCACTGCAAAGTGGGAATTACACAGACTGTTCTGAAAGGGAAATCTGCACCGGTTCCTGATTTCCCTTCAAGACGCGGCACATACTTTAGTCTGGACTTCAGCAACATCCTTAAATCGCTGTAAGCTGGAAACCAGAAGTTTCGCCAGCAGGTGTCCCGTTCCTATGCATAAATTCTTCTTTGTAATCAAGCATCCTATAAGACTTAAACCCAGACACTGAACTTCTAGGAGAAGAAAAGAAAAAATGAACACAATTAATTCTTTCAAATCTCAAAACTGAATAAAAATATCAAGACCTCCAGTCAACAGCTAATGATCAAATAAAGTCTACCGTAAATCCTGAGTTCTAACCACACTGACCTTGGTCATCCGGGTACATCTGCAGTGTGTGAAGCACGGAGTCGACAGCACCTTCCAGGGATAACATCGCTAATGCCTCAGGAAAAGGTGCTAGGGAGGAAATGACTTTTAATCCACATTTCTGAATCCCAGGGTTTCCAATGAACTAAAATAAAAAGAGAATTAAGAAAATTGGCTTTTAAAAATAAGATCTTACTGCTTGCCTTAGTTAAAACCAGTTAGAGGCTGACATGATATAAATCAAGTAAACAAAATACAGATTAATACGCTTGATTGTCTTCTATATTATTAATTAACTGTATTCATTATTAAGATAAGGGCTAGGATTTTTAAATGTGTTGAGGGCTTGTTCTGTGCCAGGCACTCTGCTAATGCATTTGCTTCGCCTTCATTGTCTAGTCACAATTTCATGAAGTCCCTACTAACGCCATCCCCATTAGACAATGAGTGTAAGAGACGATCCCTCAAGTCATACAGATGGTAAATTGCAGAGACAAGACCAAACTAAATATGTTTAATCCCAAAGCCTACTCATGAATCAGTAAAATGCAATTCTGCCTCTCATCATAGAAAATATTAATTGAAAATTACTCTTTACTTCGAGTGCTGAAGCATTATTTCATTTATCCCCTCAATAACCTCATGTCACAGGTTTAAAACACTTTAAAGATCCAGGAACAAAAGGAGCTTTAGTCACAGAGATAATAAGCAATGTCGGGCCAGGACTTGAATTTACATGTGTCCGATCACATCTTTCAAACCCTTTCATCTGGATTTCTTCCAGATGATCTGACATTACTTACAGGTGTGTTAAGAAAAGGCACTTCTTTTCCAGGCCATCCTGCTCATCAACTGACCCAACACTGACCCAACCCAACCCAGTGATGACCCAGTGCACAATCACAGTCACATCTCTCCTCTTTCGACCTCTGAGACATACATCTAACTCTAACATGGGTCATCTCCACTCTTGCACACAAAACACCACTCCCCAAGCATCTACCGTGATGCTTACCTTTCAAACATTACAGCCCTACCCTTCTCCGGATTTTGCTTTCATGGATAATATTTTGCAGACACTAGTTTCTAGATATCTTCAACTCCAAAGACCCGATTGCCTCCTCCACAGATACAGTGTATGGTTCGAATAGCTTTAAGCAGAACTCAAGCTCTGATGTAGCCTCTTTGACCAAAACCTTTGCCTTCCAATCTTCCTCACTTCATGCTCTCAGTGAACAGGTTTGTATCCCCTTCCCAGTCAATGCTTCGCACATGTTTATTCAGCATCTCTTTCTATAGCAGGTGGGGAGAAGCGTGAGATTCTCACCCTGGGCTGCCCTTCTCCACACCACATCCTCACTGCACAGCATGAACCCCCTTTCATCTGTCATTCAGGGAGGCACTCTCGCCCCTTCCTCACTTAGCATGTTTTTTTTTCAGGTCACTATCTCCATCTCACCAACTCCCTGAGCAGTAAAAGCACATTAGCTTGGGAGCCAAGTAAATTTGGGTTTAAATTCTATGAATATGAGGACTGTTAAAAATGAATGAAGTAATGTTTACTCAGAAGTGGTAAGTAAAGGGTCATTTAAGACATACAAAGAAATTCCAAGTGGCACAAAGTGCAACTGAAGAGACGGTTTGGTGTCTGGTTTAGCTTCCTCGCCCTCAAAACAATCTTAATAATACAGGGTTATTATGAGGATGAAATACGATAACTCTGTCCATGCAATAAACACTAAGTGATGAGCACAGGTCAGAGATGAAAAACTCGAGGGTTACTGCAAAAGAAAGTTTCCCTAATGGTCCTCCCTTCCTTCAGGTTATCCCTTTTCCTTCATTTCTAGGCTTATTAATAGTCTACACCCACTGCCTCCACATTCTCCCTACCCCTCAATTTCATATAATCAAACTTCTATCCTAACCGCTCTGAATTAAAACCATTCAAAGAAAAAAGTCCACTAACAACTTAATTGCTGCTTTTTCATCCCTTGATTTCCATGACACAGGGCTCCCTTAATTATTCGCAAACTTTAAAACCATTCATTTGCCCATCTCCTTGATAATTTCTTCTTTGAACTCCCAACCTTGCCCAAAGTTCTTTACTTAAAATTCTTATTCTCATGGACAGAATTTCATAAACGAACATGGCTTAAGTCACAATAACAATACAACATCCACGATAACAATGCCAAAACCTACATGGCACTTGCTGCATGCCAGATACTCTTTCAGTCACTTCATAGAACTCACTTTTTCCTCATCAAAACCCCATGACATGGAGACACTATTATTATCCCTGTGCATTGATGAATAAAATTGAGACACAGAGCCTTTGAGCAGATAACTCAAGGCACAAGCTGAGACTTCCTTAAGCTCTAAGCCCACATTTCTCTTGGATTGACACCAACATCTTAAACTCAAATGTTCAAAGCCAAAAGTCAGTATCCTCAAAAAAATAAAATAAAATAAATAAGAAAAGAAAAAAAAAAAGAAGAAATCAGCTTGTGGTTGTACCATCACTCTTACTGGCAGGCAGGGCGAGCTTCCCAGGTGTGCTCCTGTATAGTCACACACACTCCCATGCTCAGAGCACATGGCTTAAAGCTCCACTGTCACCATCTTGAAATCCTTAATAATTTTCAAACTAGAAGCCCTGCATTTTCATGTTGTGCTGGGCCCCATAAATTATGTGGCCGGTTCTGCTCCTAAGCTCGAAATGCATTAGAAGCTTATTCTGGTGCTAAAATTATATTCCATTGACATTTATAATGCATCTGCCTTTGTCCTTAATATCGTCACCTAACAAAGGGAAGATCTACTCAACAAAGTAGTAGCAGATCTGCTAACAAAGATCTACTCAACTCCGGGGGCCTCTGTCTGGGCTACCCTCGTCTCTCACCACTTCAGCACAGTTCAGTGATGAGTCTGACTTACAAAAGAGAGTTCAGAGTTTCACATGTGATGCTGCTTAAATAAGAGCATTTGTTTTTTTAATAGTTGAATAAATTTGAAAAAATTAATATATACATATGTATACGTATTATAGTATAGGTATAAGACACTAATATTTACAAGCCTACAATGGACTTCCTTTCACTCACCTAATACTATTTCTTGAAAATAGTGTTTATGACATTTCTGTTCAAATAGGGATTAAAATCAACTTACTGGTTTCTACTTGGCAAGTATTTCAAGTGAAACTTGTGTGTTGCCAATAGAAAGACACTTAGAAACAATAATCAGTAACATGCTCTCACCTATGTACCTATGTTCTACAATTCTTCAAGTTTTGTTTTGTTTTTTGAGAATCCATAAATAATTGCAATGATTTCACTAATGAGTAATCTAGCCAGTTTCAGGGAAAAACGCCCGTGTTGGCCTCTTTCCTAGCTCCTGATTAAATAGATTAGCCAAATAAAGAAAAATAAACTCATTAATTTCAGATAATTTTTTGGTTTGTTTTCTTTTCTCCTTTTCTCATTTTTCTCTTATAAATCTCATCTTTGTCCTTGTATATGTTAAATACATGTCTAGGTTTATGCCTCTTGTATATGACTAAAGAGCATGCTGATTAATAATTAGTGGGCTCTGAATTATTCTTTGAAAAATTAAAAGATTAAGGCAAAAGAGGTACAAGATGATACAACTGACGTCTTCAAATAAGAGAGCTAAAATAATGAAACATAAACTATATATATTTAAAGATGCAACTCAAGACAACTTTACAGGAAGAAAAAAATACTGAATGTCTATCTTGAATGAAGACACCAGATCTCAGGACTAACACTGAGATGCAGCCTAACACAGTTCCTAGATTTCAAGAGAAAGAATCCTTTGGACATTCATGCAAAAATAACAAGACACTTACAAAAGAAAAAAACAATGAAGCTGACTTCAGACTTCTCCACTAAAATATTTAATACTAGAACGTGGTAGAATATCCACAAAGTCTTGAAGGAAAAAAAATAAAACCTACAATATTTTATAACCAACAAAACTGTTTTTGAAGAGTACAGGCAACAAGAGCAATAACAACACAATTCTAAACATCAACATGTTCAGGGAATTCTACTTTTTAAAAGCTGTTTGGACAAGGAAAAGATGAATGAAGCAATAATATAAAAGGACCTGAGATGGACACTGAATCCACATAACTGGTGAAAGCAACACCTTGCCGATGTAGAATTAATTTATTTCACAAAAGTCAGTGGGAAAGCAGAAAGAGATGGTGAAAATGTGAATACTTCAATTTTCTCATCTTTTATAGCAAGAGGTCAAAAGATATTTTTAAATCTAATATGAGTAACATTAATTAACATTTATTGAGTGCACACTTTCATAAATTGTCTCATTAAATATTCATAATAATTCTAAGTGAAAACCCATTTATTACTCCATTTTATACATAATGAAACCAAGACATTCAGTAGCTTGTCCAGAGTGCATAATCTGTAGATGTTAGAATCATATTTAAATTCAGATAACCTGAGTATAAGACATAAGACCCACAAACGTAACTATTAGATAATTTACCTACCTGAAGCTCTAACAGTAATCACTACATAATCTGCTAAAATTGGTTACTTTAGCAAAGGAAAGGACATTAAGGAAGTGAAAATATATTGGTCTCATCGAGAGAGGGGAGGATAGGTGGAGGGATGGTAATTGGTGGGACCACACCTAAGGTGCATCTTACAAGGGTACATGTGAAACTTACTAAATGTAGAATATAAATGTCTTAACACGATAACAAGAAAATGCCATGAAGACTATGTTAACCAGTTTGATGAAAATATTTCAAATTGTATATAAAACCAGCACATTATACCCCAGACTGCATTAATGTATACAGTAATGATTTAATAATAAAAAAAAAAAA